CCACTTCACTCAGGGGTTGGGGCTGAGTGAATGACTGTGCTGAGCCATCTTTTAAGTTAAACCACAATGAGCTTCCAAGCTGTGGTCAATGAATTCATGGAAGGGATGGCATCACATTGAATGCCTCTTTCAACAAGAGGAGGCTTCAGCTCCTTTGTAGAAGGTTACTATTCCTGATCCAACAGGACATCTGAAGACATTCCAAAACTGTATTTTACTGGGAAAAAGAAGGTTTTTATTTCAAATTCTTATTTCAGAATGGAATTCAGAATTGCTTTCCACAGTAACAGTTTTATACATTCCACAGTCGAAGTTTGTCAGTCTGCTATCCCTCTCAAGTAATTTATTTTCTCCCTCAAAGTATCTCCAAACCAATTCTATTTTTAAAAATACTAAATCAAAATTATTCAAAGCAAAATGCTTGATTTTAGTAACATGCTATTCCATGACACTTTAATTTACTTATTTTTACCTTTCTGAAAACTCAAAACAAAACCAAATGCATTAGGCTACAGTCCTCAATTAAAGTAGCTCAAAACACTTCTTGAAATGTTTCTATATATCAATATACAGAAATTTTGATGGGCTTCTGTATTTCACCCTTGTCAATTTCCTTTGAAATATATTCGTGTAAATCTGGACTACCAGAAACAGTAGGTCCACTATGCCACATGACGGTCCCAAGAGTGCTGTGATATGGTTTAACTGTCAGATTTTACCAAAGTAAGTACTCCTACATACTCCTATAATATGTAACAAATACTTGGGTATCCTTCTACAAAAATTGTAGCTGAAAATAACTTGTTCGGTTTTATGAAATAATAATACAGAGTGCTTGAATGTATGCAAACAGAAGCTCAGGTACGTAAATTTGATCTCCCTTAAATGAGAAAGACGTTCCTAAAGGTAAGATGTTCCTTAACTCAATTGTCTGCCCACTGGCAACGTTAACAGTATTAATTTCTAAAGGTGCTAATCATGAACATTTCCCAAATGCACAAGTGAATTTGCATAAATGTTGTACAAGTAAAGCATGCAGCCTCTGCCTTTTAATGGTGTACAGAAGAGACAATGGAAAAAAGAACAAGGGGGACACTGAGTCACACTGACACTTATCCACAATGCATAGAACCTTCCTATAACTATATATATGTCAACTTACATTCTAGAAGAAGATTGACTACATTTTCTTTTTCATATTTTCTACACAAATACACATCAATAAAATTATTATTATATACACATTAAAAAAGTATTTCCGTACCATTAGAAGTTGTTAGTTCACATTTTCTTTATACCCTCACAAAAGTAAAATAGCTTAAGTAACAAATGATCAAAGACCTATTCTGCTTTTACTAAACCAGCCCCTACCATGTAATGTCTCTTTCTGTATCCTCTGTAAGTTTAAAAGCTGCCAGTTACTCTTTTTGTAAAACATTGAAAACAAACTCTTTGGTTTTCACCCCTTAAGGTAAACAGTTCACAGTTTGGACTCACCTCAATCATTTTATAAGTACTTCAACTATTTACCATATGCCTTGTTTCAGCCATCTCTATTTGCATATACACAGGATTGTTTCCGAATAATTAATTCTCTTTTATGCAAAGAAACAAAGAAAAGGCAGACCATAGCCTTGCAGGGGTCTGTTTTTGCTGTTTAGGTTTTACTTCTTTGAAACACAAACACAAACAACACTTGATTAAGAACAAAAATAATCCAATCTGATTGTGAAGAAGAAAGCAGATGAGGGGCCAGTAATGCACAACTCATAACTTCTCTTCATATTATAATATGTTAGGAGAAAAGTAACTATCTTAGCAAATTTTATTTCTCAAGATAAAGGTGGCATCACCTCAAAATTAGATATATTTACTCCCAGAACGAAGACAACTTATTTTAAAATATTTTCCAACCCTGATGTTAGACTTTACCTCCTGTCAAGGAAAGCTGCAGATCCCTCCTCCAGATCTGATGGCAGAACACTCTCACTGCAGACACAGTAGCAGAAGAAATCTGAAACCTTTGCAATTAAGTATGCAAACTTAACGGAAGGCTTGACAAATATAAATTGACTAAGTCAGAATTATTTTGTTCTATTGATCCAGAACAGTGAGAACCAACAGTGTGAATACAAGATTACAGGCAAGGAAACCAACATTCTTCTCACAGACAAATTTCCATTGGTTTGTACATTATTCATGTAATAGGAAAATCAATACTAGGATCAGGTCAGGAACTTCAAACACCATGAAAATGAAATTCATTTAATAAAATAAAACAAACAACTACTTTTTGGTTGGTTTTGTTTTATTTGCTTGCACAATTTAGGTCAAAGGAAGTTCAAAGAAACAACATGCCCATCAGGTACATGGAGCACATCAGCTCTGAGGAGACAGAGAAAGAAACTGAAAAACTGAAGTGGATGAACTGCATATCTTCCATACTCTGCTATGCTCAAAGATTTGATGCAAGTTATCATATATTTTTTTGCCACCAGGAAGGATTTCAAAACATTCATAGCAAGTTGCAGAGTGGAATTGATCCACTGAAAGATTCAGTAGATACGATGGTCAAAAAATATCTGATTGCCTTTCCCATAAAGATAAGAAATTGCATCATCCTTTCAAGGAGTAATTGCTACAAGAAATCACTTGCATTTGTGCATATAAAAAAAGATATGAAAAACTTTGTCAAGGAATTACAAAAGAGTCTGAAGATCTGAACTGAAAAGACGCTAACATTACCAAACACTGTGACTGCAGATTTTTACAGGGGCAGGGGAGAAGTGATATTTACGAAAAACAAATTCTCACACTTTGGGGATGGGCAGAGGGTTGAAAAGATAACACGTGTAAACAAATAACTCAAGGTTAGAACACTGAACTGGAGGAAAGATTTAAAATCTCATGTAAGTTTAACATGAGAAACTGAATAATCTACTGAAAGACTGGACAGCTTTGAATAGAACAGTGTTTCAATTGTAAAACTTGTTCTCCAAATATTCTTGTATGTTCTGGTGATGAAATGTTTGTGATGCTTTATTTTATATTCAGGTATTTTCTAGTATTAATAATTCCACTAGAGTTTCAGTACATTTTAAAATCAAGTTTCCAGATTGTTTATGAATGTACTGTTATGGAAAAACTGCTCTAGAAAGGAACTGCTTTTTATCACTACCACTGGCATGGTCATGATGCTTCATGCATTCATAAAACCATCCATTATAAAAGAGTTATGATATCTTCTAACAGCTAGAATTGTGTGTATTAGACATGTTTAAAAAGAAAGGAGCACAACACTGTGAATACAGCCACTCCAAAAGGGGAAACAAGACTATAATCTGACACACTACAGTGATGCCACTGTTGGAAGCAGAATATGATACGTACTTTTTATTCTACCTTGTAAGCAAGTAAGTTCGGAAAAATTACTCAGTTGGCAGATGTACAAAATGATATAATATTACAGCTCCTTTTTCTTCTGCCACTAAGTTGTGATTCAATCTGTCTGCCTTGAAGTATTGTTTGACCATCTGAATGTCAGTGCAAAATCCCCCAGTGACAGGACCTGCCATCAAGAAGGACTCCTTAGAAGGAGAGGGAAGAGCAGGAACAAGCTGAGCCATCCTCTCAGAGAGGAAATAAGATCCTACTCAGAAGCAAGATTCAGATCCACAGGGCCCACATATTTTTTAGAAACTGTACTGGTTCCTTGTTTTAATCAGTAAAAGTGAGTATTTTGATCAGGAATCAGAGCAGAAAGATTTTTTTAAGCCTAAACCTTAACCTTAAAAAGAAATATAAATGAATTAAATAAAAAAATGACTTTGAAATCTGTTAACTAAGTAGATATTGCCACTTCAAAGAAAGTTTAATAAGCTTGTTAGAAGACGATAGATTTTTGATTCAGAAATCAATTTGAAGGTAAGACAGCAATCCTTCAAAATCCATGCCAGGCTAGACAAGAAAGTCAAACTAGGGAAATAACATTACAAACCACTTCAAAAGGCAATGGTAGAGGCAAGAGAAAACCAGAGCAATAGATACTGACTTTATAGGCCTTTACTGAGAATGTTTAGTAGCACCAAGACCTCAACAGCCTCGAGGAGCTTCCTTCAAACTATTTCTTACAATAGCAAAATATCTAATCATGCATCACTTAAGTACTTCTTACACTTAACAGCAATAAAATGTCTGAGTCTTTAAATTTCTATTAGCCTAACAACATTTGTAAAGTCTCAGAGAACACATATGTTGTGTCAAAGTTCATAGTTTTCCAAAACAAACTTTTTTTTTTACTTGTCAATATTCTTGATTTTATTTATTTTTCACACAGCTTGGGCAAAAACTAGTTGGATATACAGTTTAGGCATATCGACCAATGTGTTCTTTTGCACTGCTTTTTTTCTTTTTTTCCTTTTGAATTACACTTCAGTAAGCAGCTTCTTTGAACTTTATCATTCTCAAAGGACAGCTAGAAGTAAATACGCAAAATGGTTACAACTGAAAGTTACTGGAAATCTGACTTCATTAAAAAAATCCAAAGGCATTATCAGAAAGAACATAAGAACAACAGGAAAAAGATGTCTTTTGAAAAAAAAGTGGGTATGACAGGAAGAGAACATAGTTTTTTTGTCTGCTCCCTCTTGAATTTTACAGGACTGTACGATAGGCCACCACCAGTGGATGTGACGTGGGCTATGATGGCAATCTATATCTGAAAACACACACATGCTGCTGGAGTAGCATTTCAGTATATGGTTGATATGTTTAAGAAGTTAGCATCTAGAACTTGAGAAAAAGTGCAGCTTGCTCCTCAGGTACAAGGACAAAGGTGTATGGCAACTGTCAGTGCCAGACTTCCATCTCTAAGTGGGCAAAATATCAGCCCAGAAGTTTGGGCAGAATGTATGCAGAACAATAAGTGCCAACTTGGAGAAAAGAAGCTTGGATTAATTAAACCTATTTTGAATAATAAAAGAAAAATAGCCAGTACTCACATCAGAGTTAAAGCGAAGCTGGCAGACATTACAGGAAATGACTTGCTTCTTCTTTGGGGGAATGGACACTCCGAACGTATGGTTTATGACTGCTTTTTGCACTGGATCCATCTAGAGAACAAACAAGAATCCATTTACAACTTCTCACAGTATATAGTAAAAGAAAAAAACACACCAACATAATGCTGGAAGCCTATTCTTTGATTTTGGATACAAATAAGAAGAGATTTAACAGGTCCAGGAATTGGTAGCCTTACGAAGATCCAATGGAAAAAAAAATGCAGCTCCATTGTTGCTGCCACTCTCAGGCTACCAAAAATTCCCTTCCCAAATCCTGCACATCCTCCATGCTTTCAAGGCTTCAATCACATCCGAATTGCAGAGAGCCTCCTGAAAGCCTGCCTGTATCATCTGGTGATTCAACAGACATAATGAAAAACCACTTTTGCCCCCTAAAAAAGTCAGGGTCATTCATTTCTCTCCTCTTGGAGACGTCTTCATGAGATGAGGTCCTTTGCAGGCTCCATTAGGAATTCTGCCTGCCAGGAAAATGATCACAATTCTCCAACACTTCCATATGCAGAACTGATGACAGACCCCATGAAAAGACAAATCCAGAGGAGTAAGCAGAGTGTGTTGGCCCCAGGAAAGGGTACCAGTCACCACAGTTCAGAAAACATTTTGATATTGGAAAAATTGAGATAAATGAAGCACTGAATATATTAGTTGTAAATTTGCCTGAACATTTTCACAAACTGGAAATGATTATATCTAAATATCAGGACTGCTACTAGTAATCAGTTTAAAATATCCTCAAGGACAGAGAGCTCTGTTAACATGGGAAGATGGGAACAGCACTGGAAGTTATAACTGCTTCTGCACTGAGGCCTCAATTAAGCCTAATATTCATGATGCAGTATGGATAAAAAAAAAAATAATGAACTTATTAAGTCAAATTTATTGGCTGAAACACTGTTTCAATTCACATAAAGTATAACTGGACTGATCTAGCTGCACTGCTTAGAGCAGGAGGCTGGAGCAGGTGACTTCTGAGGTTCCCTCCAACCTCCATCATCCAACAAACATCTGTGCACAAACAGTCTTCTACACTTATTTAACATGTGAAATGGATTCTGAACACAAGAGAGAGAATATGACAATCCACAAGAAAAGATAAATGCTCATTTCCCAGCCTTGCTTTTAAACCACAAGAGATAATAGTTCAATTCGCTATAAATACGTATTTTTCTGAAGCTTGTCTTGCAGCCACAGTGATCCTTTACAGCATTGTCTTAAGAAAACCTGTCTCTATAATTCTGGATGATACACACCACCTATTTGATACTAAGCTCACTTACAAAAGAAAGAAAGAAAAGTTGAAGATAATGCTTTATTTAAGAATAATAATTGAAAGTTAGCTGCTGCTTCCAGAGTTTCCAAATCTGAGGATCGAGTTTGTAATTTTCCCTTGGTACGATATCATGCTTCCAGAGAAATCTGCACTGATGAGGACTTCCTGTACATGCACGCACATGTAGAATCTCACAAATTTAAGAAACTATTTTATAGCATTATATCTCTAATAATTTGTTACCTAACATTCAACCCTTTTTTTTTTTTTTTTTTTTTTTGGACTGAAGCTTAGCAGATTTATTGCGAGATTCTTCTTAAGGCAAAGACATGATTTTGTAAATGTTATTACTAAAAAATTTTCTGGATATAATTTCTTATCAGCTTCTGTCATTAATTCTGGATTTCCTTGCCATCACCATCAAGGTAAAATATTAAAAGAAGTAATTACAAATGCAAAAAGGCCATTTTGAATGAACTACTGATTTATAAATGAAAATATGTTGTTGCAATTAACATGATAAAGTCTAAAATAAAAACCAAAATAAATATCCTTATTCCTCATTTCAGCTTCTTCTAGAATAAAGTAACAGTCCCACGTTTAAGTTTATCATAACAAAAAAATCAGTTTCTCACTGGTACCACTTATTGCATTCCCCTGCACAATATTGCACAATTACACATGCAGATTAAAACTTTTTCAGCATTAATTTTATTATAGATCTGCCAGTCCATATTATAAAATTCATATATTAAAATATTGCTGTGTCATTAGAGAATAGAATTTCTTTCTTTAAATAGAGTACATGCATTGCTTTTCAACTTAGCTAGCAATTGGTAGATCAAACCAACTAGAACAAGACAGTAATGCTGAAAAGTACCTCAACCATTTGAAGTGTCTGAGATCAGTGAGAAGAAATGGCCAAAATACCCACTAGCATCTGCAGTCCCATTTAAAAGAAAATCAGCAATACTCAATGACTCCTCTGTGCGTACCAGATAGCAATCCACAGCGCTAGCATTAGCAGTCATCAGTTCAAAAGCACACAAGGCAGACTATGCACAAAGTCCTAGTTTCAAACAGATGCACGGCACAAGGACAAGCTCCTAAATAGCTTGGCTCACGCTTCCTCCAGACAGTGCCACTCTGGCTCCCCTGGGAGCAGTTACTGATCCTGCCCAAACCTGAGCCCTGCACGTTGCCTGGTCACAATTAGAATTCAAGAAGCACAACATTAACAATTAATAGCTTTTAAATATATCCGAAACTAGGGTGGATTACAGGATGCTGGAAAAATTAAAAAGTATCTATGTTAGATGATTAACGCTGCAGGGTAAGCTGATCTCAGATCTCTAAACAAAATTATCCTCTTCACTGCAGGGAGAGAGGGAGCAAATTATTTATTGAGGTATATATTAGGAAATGACGCAGCACACTTGGCGCAGTTGGGAGCACCAGTATTTAAAAAGCAATTCTGTAAAATGGGTTTATTCTAGAAATAATAACTGCAACTAAACAGCCAACACAAATAATAAAATTTTGCACTATGCTATTTCTGTTACGGTGTAATAAACAATCAATAAATAAATGGTTCTAGTAGCCATAACCAAGTTTAACAACTTTTTAGTCTTGTTTTCCTACTACAGTTCATTTAACAAAAAGTTAAATATAAGACATCTTTCCAACAAAATTAGATATCTTACTATTTTGCAATGAGTCTCCTTATAAAGCCACCTGAACCATTACAGTGAATAAAGATTAACAGAATCTGGACAGGTTTCAGCAGTAATCTCCTCTTTCTTCTTCTGTTTTCCAATTTCACAACACGCAAATGTGAGAGATGCCTACATCCACTGAGGCTGGTGGTAGTGACTTTCAGGGCACTTCAGAAAAGCTGGTGCAGTAACACACAATCCAAAATGATAGAAACACTAAACTCCACTGCACTTCCCCCTAGCCTACCCTCTTCTCCTCCAAACAGCCATATTTAGTTAGCAAGAGAACAAGAACATGAACATATATGCCTTTCCCGCACCTATTTTCATACAATTCATACATTTTCTTCCCAAAATAAGTTTTGCAGAACCAGGAATGCTTTTCCATGTATTTGGCAAATCCCAATGACCTTCTCTTCCATATGCTTTCACCGTCATCTCCTGAATATCAGGAAAAACTCCACACTTTGCACTGAGCTCCATTTCCTACAACCTGCTGTGCCAAGGAAGAGTTATTCTTCATTAAGCCTAGTTCCATGCAACTCAATTTTCTATGACCTGTACCACATATCAAGTTAACTATGCATTACTTGATCATTCTACACATGGAAGCTGTCCCATACTTTGGAATATCTTTGCTGTACTTCTTAATTCTATTGTATTAGTACAGATTCCATGAAGCATTTTGAAGAGATGGATAAGAACCATGTACCATATTCAGGGTGGATCAGTAATGAACTCTGAGATGAGTTTTTCATGGAATTACCTATCACAATCACACTCTCAAGTCTTAATGAGAAAAACAAACAAAAAACCATCAGTCAAGCTAGGTATTATTTCTAGGCCTTTTTTTTAAAAAAAAAAAAAAAAAAAGTTCACACTACTTTGCAAGAAAAGATGGTTTTTATGGTATTGCAAACCCTGAATATTTTCATTAATTTTTATTCAAGTGCAATCTCCAGTTTAAAAGATTGAATAAATGCCAATTTATCTGAGCTGAAGCTTTTGGTGCTTGCCTAGTATCCAGGAGGTTACAGGCAGCCTAATGATAAAGCAGCATGGCTAAATTGCCTTTTCTACCTCATGACTCCTATGCTTTCATTCTACTCCTGGTCCACTTAGCCATTAATTCACACTAAACAAGCATCATACATGCTACTGCAACCACTCCAACAAAAATCTTCATGCTACAGCTATCAATAACAGCATCATAACAGCTATCATAACAGCAGCAATAAAGCCCCTGTTTTATGGCAGTGGAACCCTGGGATCTCCAAATCACAGTGAAGTTTAATGTTGTGACCGGGAATTTATGGCCTATGTTCAGTTACCTCTTATCGTAACAACTCTCAGGTCAAACCTAGGGTTGTGTGTTGAGAAGTATTTGTAACAGAATATCAAAGGGTGGCTGTAAGAGATTTAATGGAGTACCACTTAACCACTGGTCATTAAGAAACTTCTGTACAAACACTGAGAGCAGCCTTAAGGCACACTATGCTGTTCTGCTCTCATAAAACAAAATTTTCAACCGTATGTGGAAAAAAACCTGACATTATAATCCAGTGCTTCCCTCTGGCAATCAAGGCAAGCAAATAGTGGCAAATATAAATTACCAATGCAAGACAGCAACTAAAGTTCTGGGATTTTTCCAAACTGCTTGACAATCTACTCATGTGTGTGTCTTTCTAAAAATGATTATTATAAGCAAGCACCTAGGCAAACATCAGTAAACATTCTGCAGATTAGGCCTTCCCAATGTCCTTCTTGGTCAGAAGGCCATGTGCAGACATTCTGTGTTTGTGCTCCAGATGTCAGGAAAGCTGAGCAGCTTGCCATCATACAGAATGGTGATTCACTGAAACTTACCATAAAATCTGCAATATACACACAGCCTTCTACCACAATGGTGCACATCATGATGATTAATGCAGTTATGGAAGTAAACAGCCATACTCAACAGAGCACATATATAAAATGCCCTCTGTAAAACCAAAAATGGTGTAGTGCAACTTTAGACATGCTTGGCAAACCCAGACTGGTAGAAG